CAACTTCTGCCAGAGCAGAAACTCTTGAGCAAAAGAAAGTACCAGTTTTCAGAGTCAATCTCCCACATTTTTATTAGAGATCAAAAAAGAGGGGAAAAAACAAATAATTTCTTCTCTGGAATCTGGTTCATTATAAAATAAAAACTATTTTCATTGGGGACATATGGTTGGTCTGAATTACTCAGTTTATACAGATGTTATTTACGTGAAATTGTTTCCAATTTATAACATTGACTTTACATAATAATTTTGGACTTGGGTGAATATACATAATTTCTAATTTTCTGTGAGAAAATATAACGCAACAAATATCTATTAATGCTATGGTTTTCATAGTTATAATTTTAATGTTATAAAATAAATCCTTTATTTTATCTTCTATAATTCTCTTAATCATTTTCCAGTTCCTAGATATATCTATTTTCATTGTTCCACAGATTAGAAAAATTATGAAGGTCAATTCTTTGTGCAACTGTGACAGAAATGTAATAGAAGTAAAGAAAACCCCCACAAACTATGCATATTTATTACTCTGAATATCATCCTGCAAAGAAACTTTATGACCACCATGCACATAGAATTTTTTTACATTCCTGCACTTATCCATTAAATCAATTCTTTTCTACTCACTAGGTAATAGGTAATATTCTAGAGATTGGGAATGTAACAAACAAAGCAGAGAAGTTCCATTATGTTAGGAATATTTGTAGTAGTGGGAAAATTCAACAATAGCTGATTTTAAAAACAATATTTTAGGAAATAGAAAAGATCTTTGATGGAGGAAAGAAGTTGAGGTGATGGAGACTGATTAGAAATGGGAAGAACTTAGAAAAAGGTCAGGGAGACCTTTTGATGGGGTTAATATTTGAAGTGAGACCTAAATGATAATATTTAAAGCAGCCATTCAAAGAACTGTGAATGAGTATTGCAAGGAAAAGGTTGTCAGAATACAATGGAAAGTGTAACTTTCATACTGGGAGAAGATTCTTGCTAAGGATTGGGGAAAAGAAAGGGTAAGATAGTTGGAGTAAAGTAAGTAAAGGGAAAGATTGGTTCTTGAGAAGGTTAAAGGGAGGCACAGGACAAGTCATTGACCTTATAGATCAATGAAAACAAAAACTAAATTCAACCCAAGTGCAATAAGAAACAATGTTTTCAGCAGTCTTTAAACTTGAGTGCATTTGCACTGTTAAAAAGTCAAACTACAGTGATACAGTTAAATCATGCACTATCTACTCCTTTTCATCTATTGTCCATTTAGACTCCTCCAAATTTGAGTGTGTATCCTCTTAGATTGTTTTCTCTGTTTATAAATGTTTTTATATTTTATATATAATATTTTATATTATATGTAATACATTATATATACATATATACATATTTATATACATACTAGAGGTCAAGCACATAAATTCATGCCCAGGTGGGGTCTGGCCAGGCCAGCCCCAATTGGAGCAGATCAGGGCTGGGCCTGCCAGGGCGAGGGGCTGCAGGAAGTGGGCTGGCCAGCCCTACCACCGATTGGAGTGGGGAGGTCGATTGGGAGCCAGGCCAGCTGGGGGAAGGGGCTGTGGACAGTTGGCTGGATGGCTCTGCCTCTGATCAGACTGGGGGGACTGATTAGGGGTGGGATAGGCCAGGGGGGGAGGCTGCAGGAGGTTGGTCATCTGGCCCCTTCCCTGATTGGGGTGGGGGGCTGGTAGGGGGAGGGGCCATAGGCTGATCTGGGTGATGGGGGCCCATTGGGGGTGTGGTTGACTGGGGGGAGAGGCCGCAGAAGTTTGGCTGGTCAGCACCCTCGTTCAGGGTAGGGGAGGCCAATGGGGTGGGGCCAGATGTGGGGAGGGGCTGTGGGAGGTTGGCCATTGGCCCCACCCTTGATTGGCCAGTTGGCAAGCCACAGTGGGCATCATAGCAACTGGTTGTTCTGTCATTCAGGTCATTACTGTGTCTGGTTGCTGGCTTTTTATATATAGAGACTAGAGGCCTGATGCACGAAATTCATGCATGGGGGGGTCCCCTCAGCCCAGCCTGCACCCTCTCCAATCCAGGACCCATTGGGCCTAAACTGGCAGTTGGATATCCCCCTCACAATCCGGGACTGCTGGCTCCTAACTGCTCACCTGACTGCCTACCTGATTGCCCCTAACTGCCCCTCCCCCTGCTAGCCTGATCACCCCTAACTGCCTCTGCCTCCTGGCCAGATTGCCCCTAACTGCCCCCCTGGTGGCCTGGTTGCCCCCAGATGACCCCTCACCACCCTCTGGTCTGGTCGCCCCCAGCTGTCCCTCCTGCCACCTGGTTGTCCCATGCAGCCTGCTGTTCAGTTGTTTGGTTGTCCCTCACTAACCCCCCTGCTGGCCTGGTAGTCCCACACAGCCTGCTGTTCAGTCGTCCATCCAGTTGTTTTGGTCATGACGGCCCCTGGCTTTTTATATATTAGGATGTTAACTATTTATTATGGAACCAGTGTGACTATCTTTTCTAAAAATATATATTTTTATTGATTTCTGAAAAGGGAGAGGGAGAGATAGAAACATCAATGATGAGAGAGAATCATTGATTGGTTATGAATGAAAGCTTGGATGAAGTAGACTGCCTACGAAACTTATTAAACAGCAAGTCATAAAGTTGACTAATTGGATACATAAAATATATTTTGTCAAAATTTTAATAAAACTTTCATTTTTGGAGCATAAGTGCTAGCAACATGAATATTCAGCATTCATAGGTTAAAAGCATATTTTGTATTTGAAGGTCTTAATTTAAAGATGTTTATAAATAGTTAAATGTTACTAATACAAACAATGTACAATTGATGGTAATGTTTGTATTCTCCTCAAAATGTCCTTTCTTACTATCAATTTTATTTATTACAGTAAATATTATCTAATTTTTATATTCACATAATTTGCTTTATTTTTAGTTGTTATCTCTTTCATCAAGGTGAATGTGCTAAAGGAGAGGGGTAATTAGAAATAGAATCAAGAAATAGGGTAAAGAGGGGTGGGAACAAACATACTTGAGTTAAAACCAGAGAGCAGAAATAGGTACTTGGAAATTCCATATGCCTAAATTTTGAAATAAAAATGTTAAGTGATATGAAATGTGGGCTCATGACAGGTAAAATATTTTCTTCCAAGATAAAAAAAAAATACACCCAACCATTCTTTTTTTTTTTAATATATTTTATTGATTTTTTTACAGAAAGGAAGGGAGAGAGAGAGTCAGAAACATTGATGAGAGAGAAACATCAATCAGCTGCCTCCTGCACATCTCCTACTGGGTATGTGCCCGCAACCCAGGTACATGCCCTAAATCGGAATCAAACCTGGGACCTTTCAGTCCGCAGGCCGACGCTCTATCCACTGAGCCAAACCGGTTTCGGCACCCAACCATTCTTTATTTTAAGATTCATTTCATTATTCTTCATTCATTTCTTTATCATTTATATATTCAATAATAATTAAATGCCTCTTTACATAAAGCATAATGCTGATTCTTACAGGTAATAAACTTTATGAGGCACAGTTCCAAAAGTAGCTAGAATAAGACATGTGAGTCCATAGTACTATTTATTTATTTATTTATTTATCTATTTATCTATTTTTGCTTCAGGAAATAGACCAATTTATTCCAAAAGCACAGGGCAGACACATGGCATAGTACTTATTATTAAGATCTATACAAATGTTGAAAGGTATAAAAGTCTTCCTTTTCCCCTTTGCTTTCATCTTTGAACAAGTATAGACATAGAATCTAGAACCATATGCATTTATAAAGAGAATGATATAAAGTATTTTCAAGGCATTTAACCTAATTAATTCAACCACTAGACCATGCATATATTTACATTTATTTATGATCCCCTTTTCATTGTCTGATGCCAAGGAAATAATTTAGCTCTTTTATTTATCAAGAGGAGAAGGGAAAGGAATTACACTGCAGGAATTATGGCAGGTAGGTTTACAGATGATAAAGTATGTGCCAGGTATTATAGAATGCAATTAGCAAGAATGTTTGGTGTGGGAAGAGCTAAACTAGGAAAATTGCATGTGCTTATATAAAAGAGCCACATGAATCCAGTGAACATAATCCTGACAATTTGCTATGATTTCTTCTCTTGAGAATTGCTCTGCCACAGTTTCATTCCTATTAAATCAGAATATGAAGGGATATAACTGATTGATACAGGTCTAGCAACCTGACCCAATATGGGGCAATTATATTTATTGTCCCATAATCGCTGCAGGTGGGACAGAATAATATCACCAAATCCATTAGAGAAGTCCATGCTTTCCTGCTGTTGAGGCCCTAGAGCAGCCTGGCTTTTGTGCTTCCTGAGTCATAGATCTTCAAATTATCCTCGGATGTCATGACATTACTCATAACCTGCTTTTTTGTTTACTTAATCTAATCAGGATAAATTTCTATTATGTGCAACAACAAAAATCTTTATTAAACTGAGATATTGAAGGAGATATTTTCTGGAAGCTTAGGGGATGATTTCTGAAAAGAAAAGAAACTAAGTACTTAAAAATCATTAGCATTTATTATTTCATTAGCTAAGGCATTTATCTAGTAAAAAGATATTTATTAAATTATTTGTATCTTCTCGGCCCTCTGAATGTAATAGTGAGTTTAGGATCAGAACGAATTCCTAATTGAAGGAGTTTACATTTTGTCCTGGCTATAACAAATTGACACAGAAGAGGCATTGTGTGTAATAAAAAAAGAATACCCAAATCCCCTATGCTGTTATAGGGATATTCCACTGTTTATTACCTTAATATGCTGAGATATTCTTGATGGAACCTGAACACTTCCTTTAGTTTCCTGTTCCCCAGTGTTCTGGAGATAGCACTTGGAAGTATGAATATTTCAAGCTCTATCCAGAGGTTGGGTGTTCTGAGAATGATCTGCCCAGATTAATGCAGATGGCATTTAAGCTTAGTCCTCCATCCTGGACTCCCTGTTCTGATTGCTTTGTAACCCTTGGATCATTTTGAATGGTGACAGAGCACTAGTAGTTTCATCCTTATCTGTTTAGTCTTTGCCCCATAAACAATGGGGTTCATGGTAGGTGGCACCAGTAAGTAGAGGTTTGCCAAGAGAATAAGGGTGTGCCTGGGCACATGTTTTCCAAAGCGATGGGTAAAGAAGGAAAAGAAGGCCAGAGTGTAGAATATCAAGATGACACATATATGAGCTCCACAGGTTCCAAAGGCCTTTGTCTGGGCTTCCCTAGACGGTAGCCTAAAGACTGTTTTCAGGATTACCCAGTAGGACAGGGATATGAGAACAAAGTCCAGCCCTGTAGTGAGGAGAGCTGCAGTGAGCCCATAAATGCTATTAAGGGCAATGCTATTGCAGGCCAACTTGGCAATGACCATGTTCTCACAGTAGGTATGGCGGATAATGTTGCTCCGGCAGAAGTGCAGGCGAAGAATGAGGAGGACACCGGGGGTAACTACGGCCACACTTCGAAACACCAGAGCCAAGGCCACCTTGCTGATGAGAGAGCCTGTAAATAGGGTTGCATAACGGAGTGGTGCACAGATAGCCACATAGCGATCAAAAGCCATGGCCAGTAGAATGGCAGATTCAGAGAGGAACAGAGCATGAACAAAAAACATCTGTGTGAGACACGCAGGAAACGTTGATGGGGAAGGGCCCTGCCAGAAGATGAGGAGCATTTTGGGCACTGTGACAGTACAAAGAAGGACATCATTGAGTGCCAGCATGGCCAGGAACAAATACATGGGTTCATGGAGACTCCTGTCCCAGGCCACCACTGCCATAACCAAGCCATTGCCTATCACAGCCAAAAGGTACATAAAGCTGAAAGGGATAGAGAGCCAGATTTGGAAGTCTTCTAATCCCGGGACTCCAGTTAGCAGAAATGCAATGGGGGGAGTGGATGTATAGTTGGATGTTGTTAAAGAGAGGTAGTCAAAGCCTGTGATATAGAAAACAGAGAGAAAAGAATGTAAGTAATAGTAGAAAATGAGTAATCTCTCATCCTACTCAAGTCCTAATCATTAATTTTGGCATGATGAGGTAGAAGGAGAACAAAATGTTTTGGGAAATACATTAAATAACTAAATGCTTATGGGCAAACCGCTTCTCTTTTATGAGACATCTTGTTCTCCCTGAAAAACTAAAAGTTAATCAGAAAAATTGAGTTGACTCTTTTGTTTTTGTAAAGCTAATTGCTACATTCACATAATTGATGTATATGAGTTTTAAACTTTTAACTGTACTATGTATATGGTTTTTGCCATTCTAACTTGATAATAAATTCTTAAATCCCAAACATAACTTTTTATCTTTTCACAAAACTAGATATAACACTGGAGAGAATTAATATTCCATTCTGTGATGAACAAATTTAATGGCAGGAGGTGGGTTGGATGGTAAACTGATCTATAACTGGAGCCAGCATGAAGACTCCTATTCATGTTTTCATCCTAAGGACATAAAATATGTTCATTTGGCCTAATTTTTGTACAATAAAGAAAAAAGTTTTATTCATCTGTCTCTCATTTGAACTCTTGAAGATAATGGTTGAATTAATGTGAAATTTAAACTGTTATGCTAGAATTATAATATTATTCACACCTTAATAAGCATTAAATCTTAAGGATCACTAAATGGAGTCAAAGAAGACAAAAATTCAGAGTATTGACTATTCTCATTCAGAACAAGAAAGTCACTGAAGAATATCAGGTTCATAATTATTCAATACCTATTATTGAAAGAGCTTTCTACAGATAGAGTGACTACTTTTCATATTCTCAAATAAAATAATATCAGCTTTTTAAAAAATAACAGCAGTTCTTACTTTTAATATAGCACAAATCATAAAATAAAGTTGATTTTCTTAAAAGAATAACTGACATGTAAAATTATTTATTACCAGGACTATAAAACATTAATTTAATTAGTCAAGTTTATAATCAAATGCAGTAGATTGCAAAGGCACCAACTATGCTTATGAAGACTTTTTGACTGTAAATCTTAGGAAGTTTCAAAGTTATGAATAATAAATGCTACTTTTATTATTCATTGAAATCTAGAATCTTCATGGCTCTGGCTTTCGTGTGAGTCACACCATTAGGTAGATGAAAAACTACACTGTATGTCAAGATCTCTAACTATCACCCCTCGAGTTAATTGAAATTCTTTGTAAATATCCCAGCCCTTAATAAGGAAGTAGGACCCAATATCACATTATTATATTTATTATTATTATTTAATATATGTTTTATTTTTTTTTAGAGAGAAAAGAAGGGAGAGGGAGAGAGAGTTAGAAACAACTATGAGAGAGAAACATCAACATTGATTGGCTGCCTCTTGCACACTCCCTGCGGGGGGGTCAAACCCTAAACCCAGGCATGTGTCCTGACAGGGAATTGAATGGTTAACCTCTTGGTGTGTGGATTGAAGCTCAAACACTGAGTAACACTGGCCAGGTAATGCTTATATATTATTAATGTGTAGATCAACAAATATTTCAATCTATTCTCCTTCACATATCTCCTCCCTCTTCCTCCCCTGCTTCTCTCTCTTTCTCTCTCTCTCTTCCTCTCTGACAATTCAGATAAGGAAAAATAAGACAAAAAATTCTCATCAAAAGAGATGATGTGGTTTTTAATGAATCTCAAAGAGAGAGATATTTTTAATAGTTATTTTGTTAACAATATGGAGGTGCAACCACTGTGTTTAGCCTTGTAAGACAGAGGTTTTGCTTCCTTTTCAGTGCCTGTCTTTGCTGTGTAATCATCACACAGAAAATATCAGCATATTTAAACAGAGAACATATCACATGTCAGCACAGGAATGGGCAATATAGCAGTAATGGTAAAAATAATAATTGCAAATATTTATCAATGTTTACAAATGCTAAACATTTTTCCTAAAAACTATTCTAACCCCTTTATGTGGATTATCTAATCTAATGGTCACCACTACTATATGATGTAGCTATTGTTAGTGTCCAATTTTACACAGAGGGGAACTCAAGCATTGAAGGACTTTTCCAAGGTCTTATCATTAGTAAGTATATAAAGCATGTTTTAAAATCCAGGGATCCCAAGTGCAGAACCCAGATTTTTAACCATTAAGCTATTCTAATTTACCTTTTAAATGCATGATTTTTCAGAATCTTTGAAAACATAAAAAAGCAGATGTATCTTCATGGTGATCATCTTAGGTCTTAAGTATTAGGTCTCATGAGCGAGATAATCATGTTTAGCTTCTAAGAATTCAGAGAAGAAGGAGATGCATCTATATAGTCATCTCTATTGTCCATCAATATTTATAAAAACAACACAAGGCATATCCTCTGGGATGAGAAGTCTTTTGGGTATTTTACATGCTGAGTGATTGTCCTACCACCTGAGACCACAGTTAGTATTTGGATTAGCTGGCTAGGCTTACCATTTAAAATAACAATTTATGTGTATGGATATACAACCTTGACTAGGAAAGGAGTATATCAGCTATGTTATAAACCCCAATTTTTGGTGGAGAATATACATAATTAGACTAAGGACTAATACCAACCTATTATTAATTAAAATAAGTTTACAGATATATATTTACCTGAGTGAAAACAAAAATTGACTCATTAAATGTTGCATACCCAGAAAAGTGAGACAAGTTTATTGCAAAGGTTACAGAATACCATTAAAATAAGAAGATTCCTTTAGTGGAGATAAAGAATTAGGATGCTATTTAGTATTTGGAGTTATAGGTCAATGCCAGCGGTCTTTATATATAATCTTATTTTCAAAAATTAATTATATTTTACTTTCTTTCTTATGAGACATCTTGTTCTCCCTGAAAAATAAAAAGTTAATTAGAAAAATTGAGTTGACTCTTTTTTATTTTTGTAAAGCTAATTGCTATATCCACATATCACATGTCAGCACAGAAATGCACAATGTAGCAGTAATGGTAAAAATAATAATTGCAAATATTTACCAATGCTTACAAGTGCTAAACATTGAACTTTGAAATCATGGACCCTTTAAGTTAAAAGTGAAATCATGGACCCTTTTTGTTCAAAGAGATCTAATAAATCACCTGTTTTAATTTACCAATCTGAATTCATCTTGACATTTTTTCTGTTGACACCCATAATCACTTTTATAACCAGTGTTGGGAAACTATTTACTATAAGACAGAAAATACTGAATAATATAAAATTGTGCTTCCTTTTCTAGTGATAAACATTCAAGATAGGGTTTAATAATATGATATTCTTTTAGAATTTTCATACATACCAAAATAAGGCCTCAGTCTCTCATCGTTTAGTTGATCTCAAAAGACATTGTTTAATCATAAATCTCCACATTGATCCAAAACACCAAAACAAATAGACAATCTTCAATGAAAAAAAAAATCTTTTACCAGGAAACATAAGGGCACCAAGTTTCAAAAATAAAGATGAGAAAGATAAATAAGGAACTTAAAATAACAACTGCAAAAAGTGTTCACATATTTTCCAGAGAATCTAGACTGAGGGTGCGGTAGGCTGGCAATAGAGTGGTTGGAGGCACAGGTGAGATAATGTGTGAAACTTCCAAGCTCCTACTTTGTCATTCAACCTTTTAGAAAAATTATGAATTTCTCATGCATGTCTAGAAAACTTTGCTTTGTAAGAGTAATATTTTGAAAACTTTTGTTTTGTTTGTTTTTTCATAATAGGTATAAAAAAGCCATAGTCAAACAGCAAAATGTGGGAGCAAGGAATATGTAAGGCCCCATGTAGCCTTTGAGAGGTTGATGTACTGGTCATGAAGTATTTCTTTCCCATTCTTGGCAGGGCATGAACCTACCAAAAGCACTGACATTTCTCTATTTTTATGATATTTTAATGAGGGCTTGTAGGCAAAAATATTTAAAATGGATTCTGTCCAAATAAATAAGCCAG